GTGACAATCAAACCGCAGATTTTATTAGCTGACATATTTATGAATATTATTAACATTTCGTTTGGCAAACATTAACGCGGACAAAAAGAGTGAGTGAATGCGAACAGGAAAATGCGCAAAAATGGAAATGTTTTTGCATTGGCCAGGATCCGGATTCTGGATTCTGGATTCCGGATCCCGATCCTGAATGCGAATTTCCAAGGGTGCGCGCCTCCGTGGCTCATTAATTTTTATACGCGGTGCGTGTGTGTTGCATTGCAATAAAAACATATTTTATTAGTTGACGAAGAGCCAGAGGCTGAATTCGGAGCCACCACCAAACCTCTGACGACTGCCTGTCAGCATAAATTCATTATTTATGGTGCAATCAATGGAGCTGCCGAGCGTATGTCGAGCCCATCAAACTCGTCAGTTCGCATCGCCGTCATCATCGCAGTCATTTTCCGAGCTGATCTGCGTCTGCCACAAAGCGGAAGTTTGTTTATTTTATAGTTTCTGACGCCCGTCGTTTGCCTTCTGAAGGCGCGAAAATTTGTCCTTTTCCATTGCCTTGGATAAGGATATTATCATTTTTATAAACGTTTGGGTCACTACATCTCTACAAAAATATATTCTCTTATTTAAAAAACAACCTAGAATATATATTTCCAATTTGACATGCACATTAACTGTTTAAACTAGAAAAGAAATTAAAAGAAATATATGAATTTTACTAGACTTATTTTATATAATCTATATGAAAAAAATAAAAAAGAATCTTCCGTTTTTAAAATAGTCACTTATATAAACTTTGATTTCAACCTATTTGTAGGGTATTTTATTATTCGATCATGTGCATTGGCTTACATTTTCGCAAACAATTTGCGTCACGACGGGTTGTCCTTTTTGACAGTTATGTGTCTCAGATTCTTTTGGGCAAATTTGAATGCATTTTTTTCGGAAAGGTGGGGTATATTTTGATAGAGGGTGTGGCCGGGTATTACCATAACTCACTTGGCATCGGGATAATTTGCCTTTTGAGAACTATTAGCTCGTAATCTCGGGTTCAAGCTGCAAACAGAGAAACTAATTAAAATGTTCGCCCAGTTTGATGAATGGTCTGGGACTTCCTATAAGCGGACAGTTATCGTGATAGGGAATCCACCCCGTAATTAATACGATTTGAGTGAATGTGTTCCATCATCATCAACATCATCTTGCGTGATTTGCTTCACCACCGTTGCGGAAAAGTTGCCTTCAACCTATGTATATTCAACGCATATCCTGACGGTGAAAGGCGGTCGGTCACGCATCGTCTTCTTGTCATAATTTTTTCTTACTTCGCTTTTCGGCCAAATATCCTATTAAATATTCAAGCGAATCTGGAGGATGTCAGCTCGGGCCTTCCTCTTAATGACATTTCAATAATTAATGTACTTTCTCTGCTTTCTTTTTTTCGGCGCCCGTTTCGTTTCATTTCGCATCGTTTCCTGGCTCGTGTGCGTGTCCTTTCGTCTGGACTTTTTGACTCTGGCTATCTGACTAGATATCATCAATCAAAGTATATTTTTAAATGTTTCGCTTCTTTCGGGAAGCTCCTGCTGTCGCGGCTTATAAATGATGTTTTTGTCGAGCACTTTTTTCCTTTTTTTGATTACATTTTTGGGGGCGCTACATTTTTTCTTGATATTTTTCCAGAGATTGAGGTTACATTTTGATAATTTCAAGCAACTAATCCAATTTCCTCTCTCATACAATTTTCCTCCATTTGCACAACTGTCATAATAGCCGAGGTGGAATTTCGGTGGAGTTTTCCAATTGATTACACGACGCCAACACGCACACGCCTTTGGCTAATCCTTCAGCCAGGACCAAGGGTCCTCATAATTCCATAACAGGAGCATTTCTACTTTGCTGAACACAAAGTCCGAGCTAATGGCATTAGGCTGCCTGCCATTAGTTCTTGACTGATTCGATTTGATTTCATTTTATTTAATCGTAAGCTTGGCCAAAATGAGGGGCAAAGTAAAAGGAATTGCCACAACTGTTTGAAATAAACATTTTGGTTATCAAGTATATTTTGTCTAGGCTGGCTTACACTTTATTCAAATTTATTCACATTAAAAAAAATTTTATTTTTCTGACACTATCAAAAAAGTAATTCCATATGTTTTGTAAGTTTATTTGATTTACGTATAAATTGGAGATTGTACAAAAAAGAACATTATAAAGTGAAGTCTGATAAACATTCTATTATCCGTTTCAACCTAAAACAATCAATTCTTTCACAATCCATTTCAACACGTTTTCTAAAAGGACAACCCAAATTCTTCTTCAGCAGACAGTTTAATTTTTGATTTTGTTTAGGGTTTTTGCGTGTAGCCCCTTTTTTGGGTCTTCATTTATTTCTGCACGAGCATCCGCAGATCGGTTTTATTGTCTTTCTACCTTTCTGCCTGTAGTCTGGCTATTCTATTCAAACTAATTCGTTTTTGTAAAAAAAGAATAGAACAAAAATTGGCCAACATGTCAGACAATTATGTGGAAGGTAGCCATCGAACCAACCGATAAAGATAAAGATCAGTCAAGGTTAAGGCCCGAAATATAAAAAAAAGGGATACCTCTCTTGACCGAAAACAGTTCTTGGAAATTTATGGATAAAGTTTTGTTTTGATTCGAGTTCACTTAACTCTAAGCGACCTCCCTCGCACACTTTTCGCTCCCTTTTCCCAAATATTAGAAACACTTTTCGAACTAATTAACAGCAGAGAAGTGAACGAGCAGTTTTGGGAGAATTTCCTGCCAGGGATAAAATGCTTTCTGTCTGTGATTTTTACAGCTCTTCGCTTACAAATCGCTCGACATTTGGCTCAGCTTCAAACATAATCATAAACTTGTGTTAATTATTTTTCATATGCCAATCCCGTCCCCGTGGACAAAACTTTTATCTGTTTAACGTTAATTAGTTTTGTTTGGCAAAGTGAAATTTCTGATTTCTTTTTGCGCGAGCTTTGCAAACTTTTATGAACTTTTTTCGGGCAATCAAAGTGAATTGAACTGCAGGATGTGCAAGGATATGGCAGCTGCATAAGTGCAAAAGTTTAATTAAAAGTCCTGGCCGTGTTCGCGGCATCCAGTCATATCCTGCAAGCTGATGACGAGACCCTCAAGGATTGCACATTGATTTTTTTCTTGCAATTTGCCGCTTGCAAAAATTAACTTAAAAATGCAAATTGTTTTGTTAGCACCTAATTTTTGGACATTATCGAGGGGTAGAGAATGTCAAGAATGCCGGAGGGTGGAATTTCCCCGTCTTTAATGCAAAGTTTCTGCATCGAGAAATCTTGGAAAATACTTTTGTATTTCCTTTTTGCATAATTGAATTTTCTTTGTGTGTTTCACTTCTGCTTGTTGAACAATGTTGTCAAAGTGGCTGAAAAGTTTTTGCCGAAGTGAAAAAGTTGGGCTGCTCATTCTCCTAAAGGATTGCACATTCCTAGAAATCTGATTTTTAATGTATTCCGCGATACAACCGACCTAATAAATATATTAATATTTAATTATTTACTAACAAGGCAGTTTTAAAAGGCATATATTAAAAAAAAAAAAATACTTGTGCTAATCCTTATGGTAAGCTAACTGGTAATACTATTGAAAAACCATAAGCTCGACAAAACGGGCATTATACCTTGGGTGTCAGAAATTAATCTAATATTAATTATTCAATATTGTTTTCAAATATTTCAATGCCTTAGAAATATAAATTAATAATAATTATTTTCGAAACAATTTCATCACTTCTGCTCCCCGGCAGGAATGCTTTGTATATTGTACCAGTCAGATCAGAAGGTTGTTAAAAAATGGCCCATCTAAAAACTATTTCGGATCTGACGGCAGACGGACGGAGAGAAAGACGGAAGAATAGGCGGACGGACATGGCTAGATCGACTTGCCTGGGTATTCTGATCTAGAATATATGTATATACTTTATAGAGTCGGAAATGCGCCTTAATGTTTTGATATTATAATATCCATCCCTTCCTACATGAAAATGGGTCAAAAAAAGTATCCACGTTAAAATGACAACAGAGAGAATCAAAGCACAAGTCTTTAGCGGTATTTAAAATCTGATTAAATTTGGTAAAGTTATGGACTCTCGGAGAACAATTTTGAGTCACTCTATTACAAGACATCGGGAATTTAGAAATCACTAACATGAAAATGGGTCAAAAATTTGATCAGCGTTAAATTGAAAATTTGGAATGCAAATTTTTAGAGAATCCTATCACAAGTCTTTAGAGGGAAGCCACTTTACACTTTTTTACAAGTTTTCATAATTGTTGAAATCACTAACATGAAAATGGGTCAACATTTTTATCAACGTTAAAATGAAGTCCAATTTTGCATGCACAGACAGAAGAGATTTTGGAAATTTTCATCCAATTAACTTTAAAACTGAAGGACGACGGCCTACATAGGGATCGACTCGCCTGGTGATGCCGACCAAGAATATATGTATATACATATGTATATAAAAGGTCGGAAACGTGCCCTTCGCAACTACAAACTTTTGACTGAAATTATATTACCCTCTGCAATAGTATAAAACCGAATTGAGTATTGTTTAGGTATTTTTATTTAACATTTTAAAAAACAAGTAGGCATACATAGTAAGAAAGAACAAATTATTCAGTCGCTTTTATCATCGTCCCATATCTAATTGATTTATTTAAGGATAAGTCACCGTCGGTGATTTCACCTGATTTTTACAAACTTTGAAAATCTTTTTTATTTTGAGACATAAATGATAATACGAAAGCCGTCGGATGAAGATCCGATTTTCTAGAAAGTTCCTTGCCGTCGGAGAAATAAAATTTCAAAATACAAAGATGTGGTTTTTCCACCTCAGTTTTTTTGCGTCATCATCTTCCGCTTACGTCTTTTTCATGAAATTAATCTGAAAAATGGCCAGCCGTCAATAAATAAATTAACAAGTGTTTTTTTTTATAATTTTTGAGTTTTATTGACTTTTTTGTTTGACAAAAAATTGATGCAATTTTTAGCCAACTACATTTCGTTTTCATTCTTCCTGGGTTTTGTTTTTAAGAAAAACTTAGAAAAACTTCGCTTACAAACGAACTTACAAACTATTACAGTAGTGATTCATTTAAATAGGCTTTAAGTGTAAATTATTTCTAAAGAAACTATTTTTTATCTTTAAAAAAAATTCATACAAAATTGGGGATTTTTTAAACGGGTTTTTGAAAGAGAATGTTTTTTTCAATTTTCGTTAAAATTTTTTTTGTAGAAACAAAACCATTATCACAATCGCTTTGATGAGTAAACTAAAATTGGGTGGGAGTTGTGGCTGTGTCCTTGACTGCTGTTGAAATCGAATGCCGTCGGCTGTTGAGTGATGACTGCTTTTTGGGTTGGCTCATGTTTATTTCCTTTGTACTCTGGATTTTGGACTGGACTATTTTGGATTTCCCCCGAAGTAGTTACTCGAATATTTTATTGCGATGGTTTGCGATATTTGCCGGATTTCCTTCCCGTTTTCGGAAGGCATGGGCTGTACTGCCTCAGAGTTTCCAAGACGACGGTGGCCAGGAATCGCCACTGGGATTCCCGCAGGCGGAGAATCTGCTGCTCCTTTTGCTCCGCCTCCCGCAACAAAGTTGCCTGATCGGGTATGAAAAAAGCCACTGCCATTGTGGGTTTATTTTGTCTTTCGGAATTACACAATTGCCAATGACTCAATGACTTTCTCTTCGGCACAATGAATTTTTATCAAGTTAGTTCTTTGTTGTTGGCTGGGCACACACACGTTGCTTTCGTATTTTCGAGTTCGTTCACTTTGTTCTGGGCGTATTTCTCTCTTTTCAGATAGATTTTCGAGATGCTTTCGCTGCGCTGGCTGATTTCCAACTGAATGTTTTGAGTGGTGCTCTATGGCTATTTATACCTGGTGCTCTCCCATCGACAAATTCTCTGATTTGCTGGTGGTGGCTCCTCTCATCTTGGGCCTGTTTCGCTCTTTGGCTCTCTGGCTGGGGTTTTTTTTGTTTTGGTATTTTTGTTGACATCGTCTCATTCGCAGCTCCCAAAAAAAAAATTTCAAATTTTTGTTGAAGGCGGAGGGCGGGGCCACCTTGCGCCTGTTGCCAAGCGTGTTTTGTTGTTGTTGTCAGGTTGTTGGCAGCGCCTTTGTTGTAACTGTGTGCGGCGAGAAGTACAGTTAGCTTATTAATTGTATTAAATCGTCGGGGCATGACAAACGTTCTCCACTAAGGAGTTCGGCAGAGAAAGGGATAAAAGAATGAAGTTTGAAATACCCTTTGGATATATCATTAATGAATTCCTTACAGCTCTTCACTTTTTGACCAAACTTAGTAGGACAATTTACAAGGGCATAATACATAAATCCAACAAGATTTATGACGATAATGTAAAAATCAACCAAGTAAAACAAAGACTTGCCAAATTAAGTGTATCTAAATGTGTTCCAAAAGTTTTGACAGCTATGTAACTTGATTTTTACCTTAACCATTACATTATAATACGATTTTTTTGGTTTTAATGCATTTTAAGCCTTATTCAGCTTTATAAAATAATTAAAATACAAAATATCGCTTCTATAACTTTATTGCGCCTGAATATAGATATCTTAGCAATTATAAAAAAAGGAATCAGTACGAATTTTCTAAAATCGTAATTTTCGGATTATTCATTAGTATTATTTATATGGTTTCAAGTGTTTAACTTAAAATAAACAGCATATTCAAATGAATCATATTCAAAAAATATCAATCTTATTACTATTTGTAAGCACAAAAATAGAATAGTAACCCTGATAATTCTGTAAGTAGCTAAAAAATAATATTATTTATGTGGTTAAATTTGCAAAGTGTTATCTAAAAATAAAGTACCCCCCACAAGGGTATTAAAAAGAGAGCGGTGCGTGTGGGAGGCAGAGACACTTAAAATATGGGCAAGTGGGCAAATGAGTTCCCATTTCTTTTATTTTTCTCTTTTTCTTCGACAAGCCCACCTGCCATATCTATATTTCTCTTTATCAGCATCTCGCGCTCTACAAATGTTTACACAATCATCTGAAGCTTCCGACTAAGAATTATGACAATCTCTCATAAATTAACGGTTTATATCCCATATACAGTATATTGACAACAATGGGCTCGTCCCATCACATTTTATATTTCGTGTGCAATTTTTATTTTCATTAGACCGGAACATGTCGGATATGAGTTATACGATACGATATGAATGTTTTCGCTGGAAATCATTTTTTATTATGTACAAAAATTTCACTGCGGATTAAAGTATTATTAATTAGCGTTCTGTTCGTTATTTTATCCAAACAATGAAACCTATATTATACATTTAGGAAGTTATTATTTTTAATTATCTTAAATCAGTTATCTTTTTGTATTACTGTAGGTCCCTGTACTGTTCCTATTATTACCTTCTGTTTATAGATTCAACAACATTCAACAATTATTTAAATGCTATTTATAAGAACTTTGCTGACTGCTTCCCATTTGCATATGAAATATTAATTGTAACTTTCTCTTTTAAAACGCAAAATCTTATTTTGGGAATTCTTAGTCATACTAACTGTTATGAAATTAAGTTATGTAGTTTATCAAATTTCTTTTTATACGTTTTAAAAAAAAATTATATAAAAAGTTACATTTGTTTAAAAAACATATGTATTAAATGCTTTACATGAACTACGATTTAGTGAAACAAGTCAACATACTAATTAGCTTTAAAACATATTTCTTGTATATTTAAAATTAATTAAAGAAAAATGTCACATTTGTATTTATTAAGATTCTATCAGGCCTAAGTGAATAGGGAGAATTTTAATTTTTAGTACTTAATAAATCTATCTGTAAGTGGTAAAATTCTGTATGGAGCTAGACTTTTAAAATATGATAATATTTTGTAGAACTTAATAAATCTAACTGTAAGTGGTAAAGTAATGAATAGAGTTATGCTAGTCTTTTAAAATTTCATGTATTACCTAAAACATTTTGTTCTCGATCCTTGCATAATTTTTGAAACTCCAGGCAAAGTTTAACCCCACCCAGGATTTGAGGATGAGTTGTTAGTTCCATTGAAACTCCACCCACAATTCCGTAGTACTGTACCCACACAGCTGCACAACCAAACAGCCGAATCTTACGGCCTGCGTCTCAAGTGTTTCCACTGTGATACAGAATAGCCACCACTTTGGGGGATGTTCTGCGTCATCGTCTATAGCGACTACCTCCTCAGCTACCGACGTCTAGGTCTATTGTTGAAGGAACTACTCTACTTTTCTCTGCCGTTCTCTCGCTCTTTCCCTCATCGCTTCCTCCCACTCGCACAGCAGCAACATTCGCCTTTATAGTTCTTTTTTCATGGGTCTTTTCTTTCCGGGTTCGCGTCAACATATATAAGTATGTATGTATGTACGTACGTATATAAATCCGGGAAGGCTGGGCGTGGCTTATTTCCTAACAGCGTTTTATGCTCCAGCGGGCAGAAAGAGGAAGCCAAAAAATGGGCATTCCCCTCTCTTTCACACGTTTTTGGGGGACCAATGTGGCTCAAGTTGGAAATTTATGATTTGGGTCTGCTTCGTTTTCTGGGGCGGAGTTTAGATTGGGACCTTTATTTTTTTTACTTTTTTTTGATGTAGCTGAATCATTGCCAAAGAAGGTGGAGCCTGAAAGGGTCTTTAGTTGAAAGAAAAAACATGGCCAACATAATCCCTTAAATATATGCCCTTAACCTTAACCTGCGGTAATTTGCGCATTAGGAATAATTGAGGCTCTCCAATGTCAATTAGTTCGATGATTACCCTATTGAAGACCTTTAACGCAACTAACTTCTGTTTTTCTTTCCCCGCGATAATCATCTTAATTTCCAATTGCCCAATGAAGCGAAATTTTCAAACTCGAAGATAGGTATCTGGGTTTTTTGTTTACTTTTGATTTTCTTAAAGGATTACATGATTTCGGGTTTCTTGATTGTCATGCGGGTAATTATTGCAAGTTTTATTCAAATTAGTCAAGGTTTTACTGGGTTGCAACAAGTAAATCTAAAAAGGGTGCATTTTGACTTCCTTTAGAACCCATATATCATTTGCATAGCTAATTGGGTGACTCTCAATTTTAGATGTGTCTTTTGGCTTATTGAGTTTGTCAAATTGGATTATATTTTCATCGACGGAGTTTTCAATCTGCATGTTAAATGACCCACATGATATGGGACTCATTCCTGAGAAGTGTGTCAATCGAATTTTCGATCAACCCGGAAGTTTCCCGATCCCGTTTCTGATTGGGATTCCAGAAATTCACTTTACATTTCGTGAGGCAGCAATCGAGATATTCCCAAATGAAAGCAAATTTTTAGCGATAATTTCATCAGTTTTTTTTTCTGCCCATCTTCTGACGTGTCTCCGTCTTTGTCTGGGACTGCCTCAAAACGTTATATCTTACACACTCCATATACGTATGTTCGTAACATTCACGAATGCTAATGAGTAATATCAACAATGCGATAACTTGCGCAACTGCTTCTTTTTTGCTCTTGTTTTATTGTACCGTTTTATGGGGTATTGAGATTTTTGTAAAGAAATGATTCAAGAAAATAAATGATTAAAAAAAAACAGTATTTTGACGGAGTAAATTTATATACCGTATTAACATTTGTGTGTAACAATTAATAAACATTTTATTTGAGTAAAATTATAAATATGTAACAAATTGGGAGTTCATTTGAAGGTTGACCCAATTCGCTGTATCATTGTTAATAATTAAATTTGTTCCATCTATCATTAATTCTTTCACTGTAGTATATGCAGCTTTCTCCATTCCCATTTAGTTCGATTATCTACCATTCTGTCTATAAATTAACAGACCGTTCTTGTTATGATTTCCAATCACATCACTGTTTTCGATTTAAAATTTGTACCCTTAAATCGTTTTTTTTTCATAAATTAGATATCATGATACGGTCTTGTTTAAGAATTGAAAATTTCTAGGCTTAACAAATTATTTGGGGCGATTTCTTTTTATATTGAAGTCATTTGAAATCGATTTATTTAATTAATCAACCGATTTTAAATTACTTTAGTTCAAGAATTGACACCTTTAAAATGCGTTTTGGTTTTTGGAATAATATTCTAAGCACTTCTTTAAATTATTAAGAATTTAAAAATGCTCCCCCTTACCTTTATTATAACCTGCTTTATCTTTGTTAATATAATTAATAATACCAATTGGTAGTTAGGTCATAATCGTAATTCATTCTTAGAAGCAATCAAAAGTGTTAATTACATTATTCCCTCTCAATTTCACTTCCTCAATCGGGTTGATTCCTCCACCCCCTCCCTCTGTTCAATTGTATTCCAAGAATTGCGCAACGTTCTCCATCAGTGCCCCAAAAATATTGTCATCTCTTTGTTGCTCCCGCACTGTTTTCAATCTCGAAAACTCTCAATTTCTCACACATTGGTGTTTGTGTATCTTTTTCCGCTGCGGCTTCGTATCGTTAATTTGTGTTAATTTTTTGTGATCCCAACTGGTGGTCTGGTTGGGACCGCTTTTCGATCTTGTCAGAAATGTATATTTTGTTTTATTTGATTTCCCATTTAGAAAGGCCCGACTGGGAAGAAGAAACAAAGACAATTGCCAAGTGATCCGTAGCATTCGGGTCATTAACTCACTCCCTTACCTTTTTCGGTGCCCCCCTCCCCCCATCCAATCCCCTTCATTCACTCGTTTTGTAACGCCTGTCATTGAGGGCTGCTTAGGCAGACGATCCACGCCGATCTGAGGCGATCCGATCGTCTGGGTCGGAAGCTTAAAGCGCACACCGCCAGGGAGCTACGATCCGATTCCCAG